AAACGCGGTGAGTAGGCGATCATTCACGACCATGGAGACCACAGCACAACATCTGGCGTTTCCACCACGCTTTTACCGCGCTTATGGTGATCTTGACGCGCTCTGCGGCCATTTTCCGTCATCGTAGCGTCGCAGTAAGGTTGCCATCCCAGTCTGACGGGGGTATTACTGACTTACACAATAAAACAGCTAGCACTAGCTACCTTACTCAAAACATCTAATACATGTCACTATCTAGCATGTCACTTGTACATCTTGTACATTTACAATAGCTATCAAGTAGGGAACAACGGTGGCCAAGTGACTATGAAGACAATGGCTTGCTAACTCGGATATCCTGTGTTCGATCCCTGTTTTGCCAGAGAAATTGTATCAAACTTTCCAGTGTGGTTCTTCCTTGTCAGTGATGCAGGACATAGGGCCTAGCAAGGGACAAGATGTAGTCGCTTCGACGAGACAACCCCCCCCCCCACCAAAAAAACAAGGTATCGGGTTCACATCGGCCTTCACTTAAAAGATCCCTTGGCAGTCAGAATTTGATATAAGAGAAGGGCGTAGCGCCACTTTCCGGGCAAAAATGCCCCTCATGGTACACTTTATGGCGTAAATGTAAGCCAGACTTCATTTACCAATGAATAGTGTATCAATTGTAGCTGTGGACAAGGCAGGACATTACTACAATATTGCAGCTAGGAATGCAATTAATTCAGTAATTCACTAATAATTGGCCAGGATCCTGACTAACAAATAACATTCAAGCTAAATTAAATGACACCTACATTCATTGTAGTAGCCTACATGTACTAGTACTAAGTATCGGGTACGGTATCTTGTCATTTTCGTGTTACATTGTCGATCATCTTGCAATGTGGACAAAAAGACATTTTTATTAATTAAATTTGATGGGGTGATTCGATAATTGAACATTTGCCACGATTAGTGAGTGACAGCAGGTTGAACCGTGAATGTGATTTTAAATATAATTACGTTCCTCATGACACAACACACAATGACATTTTGGGACTTTCTGTTATGTACAGCCGTATACGCTCATTTCATCTATTTTATTCAACAATTCTTCAGTTGGAAAATTACCCCCGTGTAGAAAACTAAGCAATATTTACCGGTGGAAAGTGCAAGTAAAAAATAGAACTTCGTTCAACAACCTGTGTGTTATTGCCGTAAACAATCCAATAACCTCTGACCTTTTTAATATTTACGACATACCTTCAAGAACACGGGTAATAAAAGCGTTAGTGTAATTAATATGCTGATTGTTTCCCTCTAAAAACATCCGTACAGTAACATATCTAATCTATATACAAATATTCTTATTGTATTTAAGGTAAGACAGTGTCGATAATTACGACATTAAATTTGCTTTTCAAGTGGTCAAAGGGAAGTAAATCTTTTTAACGATCCAGGAATCAGACTCCACGATATTAAACAAAACTCCTACTTTTCTGAACTGACTTGGCTAATAAAGACGAGCGTTCACCATACAGTGTGCTATGACGGAAATGTCTCTTGTACATCGCGCTACGGCCTACTTTTATTGTCAATGCTTCTTTTACGTGGACACATATTATGTGTACACGGGGCCTCGATTTTTCGTAACATCAGAACGACTAGACATTGTTCTTAACAAGGCATCCGTCCTGCGAAACTGACAAAGATGGGGTCGGGCACATGACGTTACTAAGGAATTGGCTCGAGTTGTACATACATAATTAATTGCATACTTTCTGGGTATTGTCATGACGAATATATAAAATATGTATTTTATGCGGACTATTTTATGTAGGCTATATACGCCCTAAATTATATTTGTAGGTTATATAAATAATATTTGTTGGGCTTTAGGCGTGGCGGGAGGAGGGGGGATGGGGGGGGGGGTCATTTTTGTGGGCCCTGTTTCAACTGCACCACTTTTCATCGGTGGGCCTACCTCAATTTCATGCTCATTTTGCTTTAAAGTCAATGTAGCGCTGTGGTCGTAAATTCAGTCCCACCCTGTTTTTCTCTGGATAATGCCAATAGAGTGCTGGAAATCGGGGTTTTTTTTTCGGTTTTTTTTTCCGCATAGTCAAATTTCAAAAGAATTTTCGGAATAGAAAGCATGAAACCCCGACTCACCCCGTACAAACCCGGAAACCGCACAAGAAAACATTAAGTTGGGCCCTGTGCAGAGGTGATTTGATTTGTTCTGAAAGGTGACACTTTAAATTACCTAAATCGCTAATATTTTGGATCTAGAAATTGACACAAATGGGTCGCAACGCATATAACAACGTAATATGAATGTATATAAACTCATTTACATTCAACCAGTTCCGTTTTTACCATAATTTCAAATCAGTTATGTTCGGCGAAATACGCCAGAAGTCTCAATCGAATGGTAATCTCTAGCGTCTGGTTATTCCAATCTATTACTATTGCTCTCCAGAATATGGTGTCTAGCTTCTTTCTTCGAGTCCCTTGTTACAAATGGCACCGAAACGCATTATTGTACACGAGTCGTAAATTTTTTATTTTGTCTTAAATATTGGATATCAGAAGCTCATCTTTTCCGGGTAAGATCATAACATCAATGTTGATTTAAATCGACAAATAACTCGTGTTTTCAATGTTGAAGAGTTTGGATTATATTAAGTTAGAGACTTGGCTACTTCAAGCTGTGTATTATGAGAATATGAAAGGCTGTCGATGCCGTGTTGAAAAATAATATTGGCCAGAAAGGATGAATAGAGCAAGAACAACACTAGACCGAGGACTGATCCTATCCACTATCAACAGAAGATCAGGCCCCCGAATTCACAAAGTATTCTCAGACTTAATTTTAAAATTTACCCAATTTTCAATCATGAGAAATATCTCTGATCCAGAAACAGATAGATTCTTATTGAGGTATTTGATACATTAAAACAACAATTAGGTTTTATAAAGGGCTATTTTGAAGTTACAATAAGGCGAACAAATTTGTGTAAATTCTTAACTTAAAGGAGCTAAGTCGCTAATATTTGGGACCTAGAAATTGACACAAATGTGTCGCGACTCATACAATAATGTAATATGAATGTATATAAATTGATTTACATTCAATCGTTTCTGTTTTTACTGTAATTTCTAATCAGTTAGGTTCGGCGAAATACGCCAGTATTCTCAATCGAATTTCAATCTCTAGCGTCTGGTTTTTCCAGTCTACGCCGATAGTATTTATTAGGCATACTCTCCAGATAAGAATATAGCTTCACCGTTTGACATGACTTGTGGAATATGCCTAGCCTCGTTTTTCGAGTCCCTTATTACAAATGGCGCTGAAACGCATTATGGTACACGATTCGTGTACCAATTGTAAAATGTTTATTTTGTCTTAAATATTGGATATCATAAGGCCATCTTTTCCGGGTAAGATCACAACATCAATGTTGATTTAAAGCGACAAATAAATCGTGTTTTCAATGTCGAAGATTTTGGATGATATTGAGTTAGAGACTTAGCTACTTTAACCCTGATAATGGCTTGTGAATTCGGGGCCTGATGTCATTTGATAGCCTTCAGGTGGTTTATAAGCTTGTTGTTAGGCTGTCTCAACGGTTATTTATCCAGTTGTTCCGGCGTGGTTCCCTCCTTGTCAGTGATGCAGGATGGAGGGCCTGACAAGGACAGCTGTCTAGTCGTTCGGATGGCACGAAAAACCGAGGCCCCGTTTGCATATTGGCATGCACGCAGTTGGAATTCGATGTAAGAGTAGGCCGTAGTGCCGCTGTCCGGGTAAAATTTCACTCATAGCACACTGTATGGCGTATGCCCGTCTTCATTAGCCCTGTTCGGCGCAGAACAGTAGGACGTTAAACCCCTTTTCATTTCATTTCATTTGTCTCAACGGTTATTCATTGTAACATTGTGATCACAATCCATTGCTAACGATTTTCTCCACAACCGTGAGACGACCAACAACCAAATTGATTTTCGAATTTAGTATGAATCATTGATATCGGAGGGGATGAACCTGTTGATTTTCAGTATTCTAGGACTATCTCTTCCACAGGCACATCATGTGTCCGTTAAACCTTGTTAACACGATAGTGATCGAATTCCCTGAAGGCTCCGGTAAGGCTGCTCACTGTAGTTATCTTTATTTCGAGATATCTCAAGCTATGCGACAAGAGACAGGTACATGGGGTTTAACGTCCACTCGACACAAACCATGTCATTTCGGGACTAACATATGGTTCAATTTTATTTCAATAATTCGTTTGTGTTTAGTGGTCTTTCGCAGTGGAAGAAAACCAGAGGACTTGGCCCAATGAAACCCCTTATGATATAAGGCGCACGCGTTAGATCCCCACCCCACCTCAAAGAAAACGTGTAACCTATCACTGTGTCCATCTTATTGGACCCCAATGCAACTAATACCATAAGAATATTATTTACAGACAGTAATTTTCCCCGACAAACCCGGCCACTCACCCGAATTTTATTTCCTCTGCACCCCCACCCCATGCCTTAACGCCATGTCCCGCTTCAGTCTATTGGCTACAAGGAATCATCGTTAGGTCTAAATAGTAAGGTCAACTGCAGATTTGATCAAAGGTCACGAGATATAAACATGGCTAGCGCTAACCCTATCCCTAGTCCACATACTCACGTGTCCTAACCCTATTAAAATCTCGCGACCTTGACGAAATCCGCAGTTAGCCTTAATATTTAGACCCGACATGGCTGGCGTGCACCTATCTACATACCCTGTGCAGAATTAGCTTCCTGATTTAAAATGCCTCATATGTATTGCTTTAAGATGAAATTCCATTCAGGTTTTAAAGATTTTCGTTAGCTTAAGGTTGTTCCGTAAACGTGTTCGATTGAACCGAAAGCTGGTCAATGAAGGTCTGTCTTTATTCTTGTGCACGACACCCGTCACAACATGTTGTTATGACAACCAACTATTGTACGTGACCCAACGATGTTATTCACAGAGTTACGAAAGAAACTAAGAGCTGGGTGGTATATTTTATTTATTGCAATATTTAAAATGTCTACAAATACACCAACCACCAATTAAAAAACATAACACGGTTATATGGAATACAAGCTACTTAACAGATTTATTTCTATGGCAGCGTTTCCACGAGGGTCCTCTCATCTTTATCAAGCAAAGAATAGGCTATAGTTATAATACATAATAAATATAGTATATATTAATCAATAAGCAATAATGAAGCTGAGTACAGATGATTTATATTCCCTGTTATTTTGAACTACCCTCCAAATATAATTCATATAAAACTTGAAATCTGTTTAGGTGATAACGTCGTACAGGTGGTCATATCTACTAAATCCGAGTTGGTTGTTAATTCGAAACTTTAAGAGCTGATACACGTTGACCTATCCCGAAATTCCAAAATATCGGCTGATCCAGACTATGTAGCATTAATAACCTATATGAAGACATATTGAAAGCCATATGTATGATATAAGATTTGACGCCATTTGGAATCTCCGCCATATTGGATTGTCGAGAGTGATTTCGAAGTCAATGATGAGACTCGGTAAACCTTAAAAAGACATTATACAAGACACATTGGTGCATCTAATGGGACGTTTCCACCAAAATCAGCATTCTGGGGCCAATAAGAGGGGTAAGAACTTTCAGGGTAGGGTGGGGAGGGCGGGGGGGGGGTGCTCTGATAACCAACCTTTTGTTTATTAAATAATCAGTCTATTAAGCCTCGTGCTTCAAGTGGGTCCTGGTTTATAAATATCACATTTTACATAACACAATTATTATCTTCTAATCATCTTCTGTCAATAAATAACATAAAATTATATAAATACAGTTATTATCTTCTAATCATCTTCTGTCGATAAATTACATAAAATGATATAAATTGTCTATAAATCACCTTGTTTTTGTGTATCACATAATCGTCTTAAATTTACCGTTACAACCTCAAGTGAACAAAAATGATATCTTTATAGTTAATAGCTATTTAATATTACACATAGCTGATACCATTACACAGTTAATAGTTATTTGCCAACTCATTGTACACACAACCATAGACACATACCTTACACGGTATCAGTTAATATTACACACACGACCATAGATACATACCTATATAACGTTGTAATAGTTGAAACAAAAAGATTTAAAATCTATTTTATTCATATATGTTCTGTGGATATGTTCTTGTATTATGATGACACCGATCTATCATACTATGTTATCTAATATAAATGTTAGTATCGTTCTATGTTGTTTATTTTTACAGACGCCTGCACAGTAAATGTTTTATTGTTGTTTATAAATCCTTCACTCACATCTTCTAGTTTATTCCACTCTATAAACTTATTACTACCATATCCATCACCATCAGGTGTAAATGTATTTGTATGTTGTTTCACTATAGATTTACTCACATTGTTTATATTTAATAGTTTTAGTGTATAACTAGCTGTAACGGTTTTAACTGTTTTATCATCTACTCCTCTCAGATACAGGTAACATCCTAATGTTGATGTATTTGAATGATGTTTAACACTTACATACCATGGCATTCCTTGTATCATTACATCATCACCAGAGTACTTCTCACCTGTTTTCACTATCTGATTCAAACTAAAACTAGATGTCCAGGTTGGTGACTCCATTGTTTCTAATTCACCAAGTAAAGATTCTAAAGTTTTAACATCTATATCTACCATAGGATAATGGACATATCTTACTGGGGGTATATCTAAACTGGTTGATCTGCTATCTTTTGTCAGTGTTTGTACATTGGTTAACGCATCTACAACTGGAAATGTAGATTTACCATTTAACACTTCATTCACATATTTCAAACTGTTCTGTAGAGAACTTTTCATTTGGATCATATCGTCATGTAATGTCTGTAACTTTTTACTTTCGTCGTCACGAATTTTATTCATCTCACATTTTATGTCACCGCCATGTTTTCTGACTTCTTTACAAACTTGTTTAACCTGTGTATCGACATTATCACAGGCTATTTTAGCTTGGTTCTGGATATCAGATATTTGATTGGTTAAAGATTCACAATGTTTCGCGACTTCGTCAACCTTCTCTTCTAACTCCCCCTTTATAATGTTTAACTTTCCTCTGATTTCTTGGTCTACGTCATTAAGGTCAGTTTTTAAGTGAGTTGTATGATCCAATATAAGACATCTACTACAAACAGCAACAGAACAATCTCGACAATAAAAATCTATTTCATTTGCCTTGTGTCTCGGACAGAAATGTTTTTCCGTTTTACTTTTCGGTTGAATATAAATGTTTGTTGAAAACCCACTTGCACCACCATCAGGTATTTGAATGTCGATCCTACAATTAGGACAATTAAACTTGTTGAGATATGAATGTGCTTTGATATGGTCGTCTATACATTGTTCACAAAACGTGTGAAAACATGGTAGTATTTTAGGTTTAGTAAAATCCTCTAAACAGATACTACAGCTATGTGTATTATCGTCTCCCTCCGCCATATTTAGAGAAATCTATAACACAGTAGAGTCCCGTGCAAAAAGTACATCCAAGTTTCAACAAAGAATGTCCAATTTAAACAGGGTTTGGATTAAACGTACAGCAATATTCACAGATTATATCTATATGGTTGTTCACATTACCGAATTGAAATAGACACTTGTCCTACATTACAGTATTGTGATGTATACAGGTTATAACATACTACTAAACAAATCTATCTTTAGATATCTAACGTTATACCCCTGTCTTTATACTGGTTATACCACACGACTATATACCTTTTATATACACCTTTAGATATCTATCTTTATATCCCTCTCTATTTAAAAGTTCGGGGTTTAGGGGCGGATCTTTTACAAGTGGTATACATATGAAACATGATCTAATGTTAGCATTTCAAATGTAATGTCTTTAGCTACCCCTGTCATGTGTACAATTATGCTGGACTGCAACATTGTTCTTTACCGTACTGGTCGCTGCACAATTTGAACGTTATCTTGAATGGAACGGGGATCCAGCTACGACCCGTCTTAAATAGCATGATAAAACATTATAAAATCGTAAAGAGAACTCGCCATAAATGTAAGATAGCGTGTAGATTTAAATAAAAAGTATATGTGCCATTCCAGAAGTCAAAGATACTTGATAATTGATCGAAATCGAGCAAAATTGGTTTTCTCGTGGGGTCTCCGACAGACATCGTAATATCCCCATTCGAAACGAAACGGAAAAATCCACGAAATTCACTCTAAATATTTCTATTGTGGGATAACTTCATCAAACAAGACTTCAACATTTGAAACTCGTGTAACGATTGTCATGCACGACGCAGGATATCCTCTGTCTTTCTAAAATATCCTACACACGTTACCATTACGTCACTGATTTTGTTACTCTGTTGATGACGTAGGACACCGAGATTATCTTAGCGTCGTGTTCTGATATCGTGACCGGGACAGAGTAAGCTCACTCTTTGTAGTACATCTGATATTACTATGAGGAGGTTATATATCTAACATATTTTTATTGTAATTATTGTATGTACATATACTTCTGTCTTGTATGATGATGTATTATACATGTCTTGTTTGTTTTTATATTGTAGGGTGGAACTAATTTTCAATAATTCTTAACAGAGGCTGTTACCCTGATTTTCGAATTCAAGCTATTACAAACTATTTAATTTATAAGTTAAAATTCAGCTACACATTTCTTCATTAAATAGTTAGTTTTGAGACATCCACTCAAATTGTAACTAACTAATCGACCGCTGTAATTTTTCGCATAGTAAGAGAGTAGAAGCTGCGTTGAACATCGTAAGGGAGGAGCCCCGTCTTAATAATTTGGAAAAAATTGATCGATTTGCTTACAATTTTTGGCCCCTTGCGCCGAGAGCATACCCTACCCGCTTCCCCCTTGCCCAGTATGCATTTTGTTACGACGGGCCGGGCCTGTTATCCTATCATTACGACCTATACCGTGTATTGGCAGATATTTTAAATTACACAGATGTGAAGTATGATATTATAATAGGCCGAAATAAGAAACTATTGTGTTTACGGTTATCGGACCGAACTCATTTCTTTAGCTAAATGATATATTATATTGATGATACCATCTAAATGGAATGTGTTTAGTTACCCTGGCATGTGTTTAGTTACCCTGTCATGTCTTTAGTTATCCTGTCACGTGTTTACCTACCCTGTCATGTATAAAATTGTGGTGGACGGTCCCATTGTACTTTCACCGTAAACATGGTCGCTGCGCTATTTGAACGTTATCTTGAAATGTAAGGAGAGCTCGCCATAAATATAAGATAGCGTTTAGATAAAGATTATATGTGCCAATGTGCAAATTTGATAATTGGTCGACTGACTAAAAAAAACCAGAATTCGGCGGGTCTCCGACAGGCATCGTAATATCCCCATTCGAAACGAAACGGATAAAATTAAGAAAATTACCAAACATTTGTCACTCGTAATATTTTTATTGTGTGGTAACTTCCATTAAATAAGACTTCGTCATTTGAAATCCGTGTAAAGATTGTCGTGCACAAGACAGGGTATCCTTTGTCTTTATAGAATATCCTTCACACTTTATATTTACGTCACTGATTTTGTAACTCTGCTGATGACGCAGGACGTGTGTGTATCTAGGACACACATCAGGATTATTAATTAACCTTCTAAATGGGGACGTAAATAAAGACATGCCTTCTAAATGAGGAAATGACTCATGCGCCATACAGTGTGCTATGAAGGAAATTTTGCCCGGACTGCGGCCCAAGGCCTGCTCTTATTTCGGATTTCAAATGGCAATTACGATACCCTTTTTCGGTGCGAGCGAGTAGACGTTACCTCCCCCCCCCCCCACACACACACACCCACAAACACACCCACAAACACACACTTAAGTCCTGCACAACTGACACAATGGGAAAACAAACCAAACCACAAAATTCAGAGGAATTTGCACGGCTAACACCGAGATCGAACCCTGATGTAAGTGCTAGCGAGCAAGTGTCATATATCCTTACACCCACCAGACAAGTAGGACTACCGTTAACCTTTTCATGAGAGATATAATATGAATTAGTCTATACAGTAATTTTCTTTCATAATACATTACTCGTTTCTATTGTGGTGTTGCTATAGCAGACGTAACGTATGACAACAACATGTTGAGACGACTATAGAACAGAATAGGACGATTCAATGTTTAATAACCCAAAGATAATTTCAACTTTATTGGCAACCCTTTCACAATATTTGAAAGAAATATCCCACACGGGGTGTTACTCTGTTTATATACCAATTCAATAAAACATATAATAAGATATGTCTTGAATTTATTCATTAGTTACAATTCATTAAAATTTAAGAGATCAACAGGTTTAACTTTTACATGTGTAACAACACGCGTAGACCTAAACGTATTTTTCAAATACACTAAAAAAAACGAACAGTATCGAAGAATACCGAAAAACTCCGAAAAATACCTATAAAGATCTAAAAAAAACCCAACATACCTAAAAATGTTTTTTTTAAAACTAATTACCGAAAGAGATCCGAAAAACCTAAATACCGAAAAGTCACTAAATACCGAAAAAAACAACACACCGACAAAAACCCTAGGCCACACACACAAATTGTTAGGCGGGTCATGGGTCAGTATAGGCCACGTATAATAATTGTGGGGAACTCTAGGTCACGTATGAAGATGGTGGATACTCTAGGTGGGTAATGGGTCACGCTAGGCAACACAAACATATAGTGGGACACTCTAGGTTGATCATGGATCACAATAAGTCCCACGTAAGACTATAAGAATTATGGAGCATCAAATAAGTTTTAGTCTCCTACTGGTACAAGGCCATGCTCTACATACAGAAAAAAAACTGTATAAGGGATCAGGGCTGCATTCCCTGTAATATACTCTTTAAAAAAAGTAGGGGATATTGAGAAACAATACAAACTGCGGCAATGCACTGCTGTTTTTATTAGAGGTAACCAGTGTATGTTAATATCAGGCCAATTGCCTATACATGAACATAAACAGTTCAAATGGGCGTCTTTTCTGACGGCCCCATTTCACTTACAAAGAGATACACTGTCAAAAGTGAAAATGGACGTTGTTGATTTTTGTCTTAATAATGAGTAATTGCTCCACCAATCCTCAGACATTCAGCAATTCGTCGTGGCTTGCTCCTAATCAACCGTCCAATCACGATTTGGGACAATCTGTCTGAACCACTCCACTTGCAGTGTCACGGCCAATTCGTGCGGTGTTATCGGTTGACGTTGAGGTCGACGAACACGTCTGCCGATAAAAGCAAAGATACGCTTAACAGTAAATCTTATGCAAGAACCGATAGGAAAGCAAACATGGATTGATAAACCAGCACGCGGCAGTTTTCATCAAGCCTTCCTTGAAGTGTCAAATTTGACAATGAACCCTTCCCATGTGTATGGCGCTATTGCGTGTCGCACATGCACCTCAGTGCTTCTGTTAGGGCGATAAGTTTTTCACCCGTGAACATACTCTCAAAGCATGTCAAGTGTCCATGACTATTTATCATATCACAACCTGCATAAGCATTTGCATTTCAATATCCCCTACTTTTTTGAAGAGTATGCATGCAAGCGTTAGTGTCATTCCACATGTGAACATATTGAAGACCTACTTTCGGCCTTGTGAAAGGCAGGTTATTTTTCGTGTGAACTTTGTGTCTTGAGTGATGACTTTATTTTCAACTATGATGGATCATTACTTAGGTGTGTAGAGTACTATTAGATTCAATTGAAATTTTAACTCTTGTAATCTCCGACAGAAAGTTTCAGATATTAGCCATAAACTTTACCTGGATTAAGTTCGTATGATGCTGCTAAAGGGTCCCTGGATGAACGTAAGCGATTACCTCACCGTCTGCTATTTAGAGATCAGTTAGAAGCATGGCCGTTTACGCGTGGAAATATGGACTTTTAAAATTGGGTTGTCCCGACTTTCCTCTTATTTTCTTTCTTATTTTTGTAATACCTGAAGATGTACGGTACACTGCTGTACGATTTTCATGTGGTACACTTTTGAGCTAATCTAGCCTAGTTGGGGGCATTGCATTTTGGGCGGGGAATACCACACCCGCCACCAAAAACTCGGCAGACTTACATTCTGATGATACCAGATATACATGCATTATCGATACCATATAGGGGAAAATGGGTACACTGTTCAGCTAGGTTGACCCTCTGGGCTCCTTGTCTACAATTTGAATGCGTGACCTAGAGTTCTCCACAATTTTTGTGCGTGACCTAGAGTTCTCCACAATTTTTGTGCGTGGCCTAGCCTGACCCACCTAACACTTTGTGTGTGTGACCCCCGTTTTTTTTTCGGTAATTCGGTGTTTTTTCGGAATTTAGTGATTTTCGGTGTTCAGAGTTTTTCGGGTTTTTTTCGGTATATAGTACAGCCCATGTCAGCTAGTGTTGTGCAAACTCGTGTGATTAGTTAAGAGCTAAATATGCCTAATGGAAGTCTTTCTTATATTAATTATAGACCTTTATTTTACATGCTAAGCTCAAATCAACTCCGTAGACCCTCAGATGTCTTGGATAACGATGAGATTTAAACAGTCGTACATTTAATAATTAAATCAATAATTAATTGATCAAGCTAACATTTACCGTTAATCACCGACGTCACTTACGGATGAAAGGCCTGCCAATCGACGTCGCCGATTCGCCCTGTCCAATACACGTGGTTTTGTGTACATTTCACTCCATTTCTCGTAATGAATATGACAATATTTAGGCTTTCAATAATATTGATTATTATTAATTATCAATCTATGATTTTTGCTATATTGCTGTTCGGGAGTATACCTGTAGTACGATATGTGTAGGTTAAACTTCATTTCATTTATTCATTGTAACGTCAAGTCAACATTCATAGATTGTATATTTAAAAGAATC